GTAAATAATGAAAGAGATTAATAGAGAAAATTTAAAATTGAAATATGTAATGAACAGAGGCKATMACCTCGGCGAGCTCACTTGGCCAMGTGACAACCACGTGACTAACAGTAAATKAAGTACACTATATCTTTGCTAAACTGGGTAAAACTGGTATTACGAGATATGATATCATGTTATTTTCACCCAATATGGCTGTAGTAAGAGGTTAATATTTGATAAATATTACATTAGACGACCTCCAGGTCCAAAGGTCATGTGATACATGTGACGTCATCAACTGTGGGAGGATGCAAATGAAAACAACACTTCAACTGCAATAATGTCTTGGTCAAGAATTCTAATGCTGTGCTGGGAAATAGCACTGTGCATATCGGCGATTAAAGGTTTGCAATGATAATCATTATGTAGTGTATAAAATATACTTAATTTCTAAAACAGGCTGTAAAAAATTTAGTACTCGATGTAATCGATGTTAGTGCGGTATTATTGCGTTCTAGTATAATGTTTTGTTGCGCAATGTCTGCATGGTATTCATTTATGCTTTAACTAGTGTATGTATAAAGCAAGCGCTTAATTTATTTGACTGTGCATGACATTATTAAAAATCAAATCGTGGTTATTACAGTCGACGTCATACCTGCTATTATTTTTGAAATAACATACTTATTTCTATGTGGATAATTTTCAAATGAAAAAAACTTTGCAGTAGCACTGACTACCACTCAATATTGATCATATTTCCCAATGCAAAAATTCTTTTCRTTGGCAGAAGAAAAGAATATAATTCACTTTAATTGAATCATAATAAGATTTGTCATGATATCATCATCGCTTSATAATGATATAAACTTAAACACGTGATGTTTTGAATGGATATAAACACATTGCGTACTGGGAATTTGTAAGATTACTTTATAGACCATGCATAAATAACCGCAGGGCCGGAGTTTGTATATGTTATGATGGTCGAATTAAGTATGTTTTTTCCCTGTCAATTAGGAGGACTACCAACGTTATGGCCCGCTGGACTATACGGTTTGCCTCAAGCAAAATCCGGCTGTCCAGACACCTCAATGTACTTCTCATGGTCCACAGGGACACTACACCAGGCCCTTGGTCCTCACAGCTCCATCCTCCCCGCCGATTCTCATTTAAAGGCAAAAGTAACAAACCAAGGCGTCGAAAGATCATTTTGTTTTAAAAATTCAACATCTATGGACAGCATGAGACCTGTTTGGCCATCAGGCAGTTATTGTATATACATGAATTCGAACAATTGTCCACTAGGACTTAAGAAAGGGTATTTAATGTGGACTCAGGCTTTCGGCCAAGGGAACAATTATCAGACAGGAGACGTGCCAAAGGGACACTATAATACAACGTCTACCAAGATATATTATTGCTGCAGGACGAGCGGGTATTCCTCTACTCCGATAGTTCTGCCGATAACATCGCCGTTTCTATTGCTTACAAGTTCAAAGRATCATCTCTGTCAAAATGTTCGACAAACAATTCATAGACGAGAGTCTATAGGTTACGACGTCAATGAGACCAGTTTGTTTACAACAGCTACGCCCCATCCATACTACACGAAGGGAAACAATGTCATGTCTATAAATTATTGCTATTATCAAGGTAAGGGTCGCGTTCGCATAAATAAATAAATAAATAAATCAGTCAGTCGGTCATATCCTGACGAAACGCTGATGTTTTATTCATCAGTGCCGTTTCAATCATACGGCCAATTTCGCTGGGTACGGAAACGTTTTGCAAAGGTTATAACGGAAATATTGATATGAATTACGTGGTATTATGTATGTATAACGATTTCCATATTGTACATGGTCTATACTTGATTTTATCACCTTTATTGCAACGTACATGGTCTATATATACTTGATTTTATCGCCTTTTTAAAAAGACGTATTCCTGTATCGTGTACATACAGACGTATGTTTATCAGCAGTTATGACTGTAGCCCGCATAGAGTCTCTTCTAGAGGGTGCGGATGGGAAAAGGGAATTCCTATGATAACTGTGTAAAACTTATGACATTGTTTATAAATGAAGTTTTGTATCAACAGCTTGCCAATGGACGTACAATGAGCTGTCAGGAACCATTACATCTCCTTTCTACCCTAATAACTATAAAAACCATCTTGATTGTCAATGGACCATTCAAGTGCCAAAGAACTATCAYATCACATTGTATTTTCACGTCTTTGTCCTCGAATCTTCGTTATCCTGCAATCTAGCCTGCACCTGCGATAAACTTGAAGTGACGTTTAAATCCGAAGGATATACTTCCGCAGTCACAAATAAATACTGTGAGAAACTCATTCATTATCCTCCTAACAAACTAAGCACGTATTCTAACATGGTAGTGTTGAACTTTCATTCTGATGGAAACATTATTGCAMAGGGATTCAAGATATCGTATGCGTCTTTTCGCGTCGCTGAAGGTATGTTTGATCATTAATTCAACTTGTTGTTCATGTTTCTTCTTTAGGACTTTATACTTTAATTCAATTTACATCGCTCTTTTATAATGATAAGCGCTCAACTAATGTCACTAGTGCGCGCCTTTGCTCATATATGTAAAATCCGTCGTGCGAGGAGATTGTTGAGTCTTAAGTTGTGGCAGCGAGCGCTCGAGTGATATTGAATTGGACGGTAGCTTCTATTGCCTGCGTCCTACATTGCTTTCTGTCTTCATGAATACTGTACAACGTTTTCTATTGCACGTAGATACSACAACGACTACTGCTGCACCAACAACTAGCGTAAACGTAACCACAACATTGTCAACGAATAACACAAGCAAAGCAACAACAACAGCGACAACTATTGCAAGTACAACTGCAAGTACGAGTTCATTCATGTCCAGTACACCGAAAGAAAGTTCGACGACTGGATCTTTTTCCGAGCAATATGTCCATCTTTCAACTGRTCATGTTGCCGCTGTGACTCGCAAAGATAAGMGGGAAGGCTCAAGTTATCTCAAGGCACTGGCTATTGCCGTTRGTGCGTSCGTRGTKTKTCTTGCATTRTGTGGCGTWGGATTCCTAGTTTATTGCAGGTTGGTGCGTTCAGTCAGAGACAGATGTTGTCAGAGAGGAATCAATACATTCAAGTGCCGGATAACGGGAAGCTAACCGTAGTAGTTAAGATCCATAGCTATCAATTTCTTGCTATTATAGAGTCTCTATATTTCTTAGACTAGAGTTTCTGTTGATATCTTTTGAATACATGCATGTCTATATTGTAGAAGGAACAAAGGCAAGACAACTCCTMACAGCTGGCTTAACATCAGATATAGYCGTGATTCGACTAAAATGAGAACGTCTACTTTGAGTACAAGCACTATTGATATGTATGGGTAGGTATGGTACCACCGCTTCAAGAGCAAGAACTCTAGTAATTTCACTACTAGTGAAAGCATCATAGAAAACAACAATATTTTGGGCGGATATCTTTAACTATATCATTGTCATCAAGACCATCGATCATCGATATCATCACTGTCATCGCTATCATCATCATCATCATCCATGAACGTTTTCAACATCAATATTATCAATAATTCAAACACTCAATGCATGTTATGGTAAACAAAGAGAACAGCACTTTAGGGTAGAAAAAGATAAAACCTCGACGACTTTTGCATGGGTTTAGAATGTGAAAACCACAATGTCACCAATTGTGCTATGCTTTTTCCGTTTCAGCGGCGATGATGTAGAGATTATACCAGAACAAAAAGAAAGCGACAACCCTATTTACTCATCAGCCAATGTTTACATAAAGTGGTAAATATGACTTCTTTTTTCTAAATTTCCAGGGGAGGGGTGGGTGTATGCTGAAATGGGTCRATACTGTTTACTATCCCTTACCCCCTTGTATCAAAGTGCATCCTTAGTAATTTTTTTTAACGAATATGATTTATATTAGCAACGATCTACAAAAGAAATACCGAGAAGAAACGTCTGAAAACACTCTATACGCGTCTCCGTAAGTACATGAATCTCGTGTTGAATTTGTAAAAGATTGATCTTATGTACTAAGACACTTTAATTGATTCGAATCTGTTTGAATTTCAGATACGACCTAAAATCCAACAATCCAATATACGACAAGTAAGCGTTTATTCAACAATAAATAATRTAAATGATTCACAGCACTTTTTGGCATTTTTCTGATGTACGCAATAAAACAGCGGAGTCATGTGCGCGCCGCTACAACCTATCTCCTTGGTATTGCTGGGTGCACTGTTAATTTGCTAGCTAGAGTAGCCCTGGGAACGAGGTTGGCTATTCGCGGCATGTGATGTTGAATTGCGCCAACATCAATCCAACTAACCCACGATTTAAGTCATAGACGTCATAACTATTTTGCATTCTTCTTTAAGTATGCAAAGTGACAACATCTCTGATGACAGGAAAACTGAAAATCCACTTTACGACAGGTAAGATTGATGTTCTTATTTAATATTTTGTCAGGACATCGTATTAAAATAGAATTTATTTATCCACAGGATTCTCTGAATCAAGGTCGAGAATCAAGGATTCACTACTTGTATTGAGGAAGATCGCCAGCGGAAATAAACGGTGGTGGACTGCTGGTGCTGGCATACTGTGAAAAACATCAAATAAGTTTAAATAAAGAATTCTCTAATGTATATGTCAAGGATACTKTTATTTTGTAAAGAAATAAATTCAATAAAAAAGTAAAGGTTTCAGTTTCTTTTTCTTTTTTTCTTTTTCTTTTCTCTTTTTCCTTTGCATTTTTTCAGTCCGTCCCAATTGTTGTGCAAGAAGTCCCATTTTCAACTAGATATAAGAAAACTCTTATTATATCCCTTCTGAACCTTAAAAAAACAGTCTTACATTAAAATGTTTGTGTAGGCTAGGTAAACGCTATTCAATCGCGATCCCGGATGGATCCGGCCCCAGGATCGGCGATCTTTAACCCAGAGCCCGCAATGTTATCGTTCAGCGGCTTTCAATACTCAAATCAAATGGACGGCAACGAGAAGCAAGTAGAYTTGAACCGAATCAAACCAGCTTTAGCTGCAGGCTCMGTGTGTTTATTTTTCTTCACTTTTCAATTCTATCGGTACGTTATCACATAAGTTTGTATTCTTGAAGTTATAGTGACGTTTKGTGTGAAAAATCGTTCTCTATAAAGACATGCCCATTCAGATCAGATGGGATAACGTTTGCAGTTTCAGCTGTGTTTAATTATTGCAGTTTCATATGTTTTCGATCAGGCTTAATATGAGTTATTTCTAGGATAGGTGAAGTTATTAATAATTACATATTGATGGTTTATTTGGTGGTTCATTAGCTATGTATCTGTTGTAATTGCCATATGGGTCATTGCTTCTGGAATTGCTGTTGGATGTTCTCTCTTCAGGTAACTG